TCTATTTTAAATTTATTCTTTGTTCTATTGATATGTAAGCATTTCTCCTGTGCGTAACGGGTATTGTGCAATTTGTCACATTTCAAATATACTGGGTTCATATGATGTACTAATAATAGTTGACAATTTTTTAGATAATTTCTTTACTAGTATTTGTTTTCTTCTTTTGAATACTTTTTTGTTATCATGGATTCTATTTTTTGGATTAGATTACTATGCTAAGTCTAGTAAAAAAAAGGATTTTCTATTCATAATTTGCAAGTGAGATGAGACTGTTGTTTTAGTTGCTATTTTTGGCGGATTCCGCCCGAGCAACTATGAGGAGAAGAAGAAGAAGAGAGATAGAGGGCGAGAGAGAGAGAGAGAGAGTTGTGTTTTAAAATCGGAGGGGGGCAATATTCGCACGGGTTACGGGTGGGTTTAATTGAGGCAATGGGACGGTGACACGTGGATATTAAATAATTTTCTTTTTTTCCAGAATTTTCTGTTAGTAATAAGGGTAATGTTGAGCCAAAAAAATAACGGTAGGGGCATTTTTATTCAAATAGGCGGACGGAGGGCATTTTCGTACCAATTCTGATACTTCAGGGACAGATTTGGCTCTTTTCTGTTTTTCAAATCAAAACTGGAATCATGTGGCTTTTAACAGGATTGCTGACTATTGGTCCGCGATTTGGTGGTGCTATTGATGATGCTGCTCGGTACTTCAAGGATGCTTATGACAAGGTGAGCCTTATAATTTATGAGCATTAAATGAGCCACTCATCAGGCTAGAAGTCCTGCTGGTCTCTTTTGTGTCCAGAAGAGTAATACTAGCATTATATTTTCAGGGTCTTACACCATATGAGTTCGTGGAAAGTATGAAGAAGAAGGGCATTCGTGTGCCAGGAATTGGCCACAGGTAGCATATCCTGTAGCTTCATGAATCATCAAAGAATTGTTCCTCGAGTTGTAGAAGCAAACGATGCACTGAAAATCTTTTGAACTAGGGTTATCATGCTTCTAGGCTCTTGTGACTCTAAATCTATTTGACGCACCACATCTTTCTTCTTTGTGATAGGATTAAGAGAGGTGACAACAGAGATAAGAGAGTGGAACTACTGCAGCTTTATGCTAGGGAAAATTTCCCTTCTGTTAAGTACATGGAATATGCTGTTCAGGTTGAAACTTACACACTCTCAAAGGCAAACAACCTAGTCCTCAATGTCGATGGTGCCATTGGATCCCTCTTTTTGGATCTCCTTGCCGGCAGTGGAATGTTCACCAAGCCAGAAATTGATGAAATTGTGGAGATTGGTTACCTCAATGGACTTTTCGTGCTGGCTCGTTCAATTGGGCTTATAGGGTGAGTTGCATGATGCTTAAACACCATTTTAAATTCACTGTCAGTAATTCTTTTTTATGATAGCTCAATTCTAATTCCTAAATGATTGATTATGTACCTTTTCAAATCTCAGGCACACATTTGACCAGAAGAGATTGAAGCAGCCTCTGTACCGTCACCCATGGGAAGATGTCCTCTACACCAAGTGAAGAGTCTCTCGATAACAACAGACAGAAAGTTGCCTGCGCCCTATCTATATTTTTCATTCAAACTATTTGGTTAGCCATTTGTTGTGTGAGTGATTCAACTAGTACTCCTAAGAGCTCTGGTGAGCATTTCATTTTTTAAGTTCTTAGGGAGATGCCAAAAGACAACTCTCAGTTATCATTCGTGATCAATTCTTAGTTCCACATAAGTGTTTTCTTTTTTCCTCTATCATGTCATAAATGAAATAACACAATCCATTTTTGTAACTGATTTCAAAAGTCTTTACGAGATTTCTTCATTGTAACTGTTTGCATAAAACTGTATTTACCTGAAGGGCTGAATTCACAGTGTGGCAAGTGGCAACCATAGACTGACTGATTAAAGATTTGCAGAGATTTTGGCAGTCGGTATTAGCACGGATCGATAACCTGGAAAATGGACAGTGACAAGCTTAATTTACACAGGAAGGAGTATACTTAGTTTGTGATAATTAACGGATAAAACTTAAGTTAAATGGCGGAAAGAAGCAAGCATAGTCTGTCTAGAGAAGATTTTCCACAGTTTTTAGAAGCTAAAGAGGAGATGAAACTCAATTCAAGTCGGTGCTTAAAGTGCCAAGGTAAAGAATTGCACACTTTAACTATCTAAAACATCTTGGAACATACGTCCGACTCATTATCTTTGGCTAGGACCAAGTATATGTGTTTACCCTACAAATTGGATAACAATTAAACTTATAATGTGGTTTTAAAGATAGGTGATCTCACCTAATACCAATTGATAAATGTAAAGATAAGTGATGGAAATTGATAACAATATTAAGCTAACTATCGTTTGGACAGAGCCCTCGAGCTTGAATACCCTCGAGTTAGTTATGCAAGAACGATTAAAATTCAACAAGCTGATAAACAAGAGAATGTAAATTAAAGAGAGAATGTTGTATTGCTTTTATCTGTGTCCATGTAAGGTGATTACAAAGTGATCGGAATCCTCTTTATATAGTAGAAGAATCATATCTATGGTACAATTCTAATTACGGAAGTAAATCCCATGATTGGCGTAAATAACCGTCCTTGATTTGATTTATTCCGGAATTTTCGCCGTGATCTTTGACAGGTTACAAATACCTCGCCTTTCCGTTATTGTGCTTTGTCCGAAGTCATATTTGGTCTAGATCGATGTTGGCCTCGACCTCGGCAAGCACCTCGATTCTCAAGCCTGATACCTTATCTTCGTGCCCTGGCCTGATCCATTATGAGGCGAACCCTTGACGTGATTCCCTGGTCTCGATTAATTGAAAAAATTGGACAAGCCCTATTTTAACCGTACATAGATAGTCGTCTCGTTTCTTGGAGTGTAATGAGAAGAAACAAACTGAGCCTTCGATTTTATACCTCGACCAATTATGACGTCACCCTCGTGACGTAAGCCACGGAAGCATCGCGTCCGTACAATTACCAAAATCATTAATAAGCGTCAGTTGATAGTCGACCACTAGTGTCTTCAAACCGTCATAGCAAACATTATAAATAGATCTTCTTCATAATTTTCTCAAACTTTACTTTCAAAACTTCTCTTAATCTTCAAAACACTCTACTTCCTTCAAGTTTTTCAATTCTTCAAGTTCTTCGAATCTCGTTGTCAACCTTTTCTCATAACAACAACCTCATCTTCTTCTTTCTCTGAATACACATAAAAACGGCAAAAACATCAAAAATCGTTCCTCAAAAGGAGAAAGCTTCTTCATCGCTGCCGGCCGGTGATAAAACACCGGTGGAGCCACGCATCGAGGAGTGTATTCCGGGGGTGCGCGATCTTACTTCCGATTTCAAAGTTGAGAAACCCTTGTCAGTCCCTGGTTGATGTGAGCCAATGTCGAGATATAAATGCTCGATAACTAAGGGCAATATTAAGCAGGTAAAGAATGATTGCCATTGGGAAGGCAAAGAGGTGGTGATTTCCGACCCCCGAAGAGAATATCACTACTTACGTGAAAGGGTTCTTAAGTGTTTACACTTACCCTTTTACGTTGGGTCCCGTCGATCTTGTTATCCTCGACTTCTGCTGCCAATACCAAATAATCTTAGGCCAGATCCATCCTTCTTTCTGGAGCATTGTCATTTTGCTTCGATTCTTCGTGAGCAAAGTCGAAGGGATGCCTTTTACCCTCGACCATCTCATTAGACTGTACAAACCCCGTCTCTATCGAGGCGGACTAATAAGGCTTCAGCGTCGGGCTACCAAGGTGCTGTTCTCGAGCATAGACAAGGACAAAGATCGAGGATGGATGGGCCAGTTTGTCCGAGTGAGGACTTCCGACATAATCCCGGCCGAGAAGATGACATTCCCCGAAGAATGGAACATGAAGTGTGAGTACAAATCCACCCATAGCTTCTGTTTTTTGTTTTGATTCTCTTGCCTTTTCTTATTGACATCCTTTCCTAAGATGCAACAGTTTCTTGGGTGCCTGGTGCAATCCCGAACCTTGAGTACTGGGTTCAGAAACTAGCCTCGACCTCTTCATATGCTGAGCGCTCATGGCGCAATTTGGCAAAGGGCCAATGGGAGGCCAAAAATCACGATAAGATTCTTTACTCGAGTTTGATGCTCTTCTCTAAAATGTTTCTTTTTTATTTCTACTTGATTTCCTTTCATATAGGTTTCAGAGACAATGCTGTCATGAGGCCCCCGTCTGGGGAGGAGGAGGAGGCACCGAAGCCGACTAAGGATAAGAAAAGTAAAAGGGTCTCGCTCTCCGATACTCCAAAGCCCAAGAAAAGCAAGGCTCGCAGGTCGAAGAAAGATGTTGTCGTCCTGCCTGCGGATGTAGTTCAGTGACTACGAGATGAAGAGGAGGAGAATGAAGATATTGCCTTCAAGCTGGTGGCTCGAAAGAAGAGGCCGAGGTCCCAAAGGCCGCTGAGACGGTGACCGAAAAGGTTCAGCTTCGGACCGAGGAGATCTCGGAAGATGGCCCGAGCAAAGTCCCCGAGTCATCGGAGGCTAAAGATGCCTCCCACCGTGATGGGCAATCGGTGGACGTACCTGAAAGGGCCAATTCTAAGGCCCTTCGAAGAGAAGAGAACGCCCAAGTGACTCGCTTGGGGCAATAAATGTTGACGATTCGCCGCCCCTCCCCACATTTTCCGAGGGGCAAATTCAGGAAGCCCAAGCCATGGAGACCCCCGATGTGGGAATGACCCGCGAAGGGGGGGGGACCTTTTCCACGGTTGCTTCGCAGGAGTCAAAGATGCTTCCGATCTGGGAGATGCATCGAGTATCTTCGATGAGGCCCATCGACTCCTAAGTCAGGTAAGCCTTAGCTCCCCTTATCGATACTACTTTTGCCTTCGTTTCCTCTTGCCTGATTTCCTTTCTTTCTTCATAGGCCTTGACTCTTCATCTGGAAGCATTTTCTAAAATCTCGAGCAGAGTTGAACCGGTGTGAAGAGGCTCACGGAGGAGAGAGATGTCCTCAAGCTTCTCAGTGGGCAAAAAAAGAGAGGAGATCAAGGTCCTCCGAGCCGAATTGGCCACAACCCATAAAGAGCAAACCGACCTGATTGAGCAGGTAATGAATTTTTTTTAGAAGTGTGATGTATTATCTCAGGGATAGAGACTAATACTTCGATCCTGCAGGTTCAACAAAAGGCCGAAAAAATCGAGCAACTTCGCGAGGAGGCCAAGATGAAGGAGGTGAAGACTTTGGGGTGGAAACAAAACATGGATCGCCTTACCTCGTAGAAAGAGGCTGCTCGAACTCAATTGTCATCGGCCGAATGTCAGCTTCAAAGCATGAAGGAGGAAAACTCAGCCCGAACCAAGAAAATCGAGGAGCTCGAGGCTCGATTTGTCGCCGAGCTTGCAAAGGCCACAATTGAGGCAGAAAAAGCAAAGGCTGATGCGGAGGAGGTCGTGGTCGTCTACCGAGCTGATGCTGAAACTGCTTATGCTCGAGCAAAGGAAATTTCTGATGCTGCTCAGGTTCGAGCATTCTGTATTGCCGAGCATGCCAAATGCCAATCTTGGACAGAGACTCTCGAGGAGATACATGCTCGTGGCTTTGACCTTGCCATCGAGATCGAGAGTGCGAAGGAGCTTGAGATTGAAGCTAAAGCGTTGCTCTCTTCCGACGATGATGATTCTGGGAGCGTGAGTGGTTTCGAGGGCGGTGAAGATGAAGATAAGGTTCCCGGAAAGGATTAGGCACATAGAATTTTTTCTTCTTTGACCTTTATTGTGTATGAGTGATCCTTGTAAATATTTTTGCATATATGAAAGAGCCCTTTTCTTTCTGACTCGTCTCCAATTTCTGTTTTGTGAAAACTCTATTTTGCTTTTCGCCTTATGATAATTATGATATACTTTATATCTTGTGAGAATTTTGACTTACTTCGTTGCCTTGCAAAAATTTTGTCGAAGTTAGATTAGAATAATCTTTATAATCGAGTGAGTACTTGCTCGAACTCGGAGTAGAAAAAAAACCTTAGGTTTCAGTTGAGCGAGGGCGGATTCTCAAACTCAACAATATAATAGCCCTTCGGCTCTTTTGATGCGCTGCTTCTGTGCTGCCATTCTGACGAGGGCGGCTTCCCATTTTTCATCTAGCAATTTGAGGCTTGTGTTCATAGCCTCGTGATTCGATTCTTCCGTTGTGTATTAAAACCTGACGCTGGGTTCCTCGACCTCGATTAGGATTAGGGCTTCTGCGTCATATACTAAGGAGAATGGTGTTGCCCCCATACTAGATTTTAACGTTGTTCGATACGCCCAAATGACTTTGGGAAAAATTTCTCTCCATTTTCACTTGGCGTCGTTCCATCTTTTCTTTAGATTCTGAATGATGGTCTTGTTTGTTGATTCGACCTATCCGTTCCCACTAGGATGATACGACGTCGATAATATCCTTTTTATTTTGTGATCCTCGAGGAACTTCGTTATTTTGCTACCGATAAATTATTTTCCATTATCGCATACTATCTCGGCAAGTATCCCGAATCGGCATATGATGCGATCCCAGATGAAGTCTTCTTTTTCTCTGACTTTCTTGAAAGCCTGTGCTTCAACCCACTTAGAGAAATAGTCAGTCATAAATAAAATGAATTTAGCTTTACTTGGGGCTGATGGTAGAGGGCTAATGATATCCATTCCCCATTTCATGAACGACCATGGGGATATGACTGAATGAAGTTGCTCTCCGGGCTGGTGGATCATCGGTGCATGTCTTTGGCATTTGTCGCATTTTTGAACGAACTCCTTAGTATCTTTTTCCATATTGACCCAATAGTACCCTGCTCTAGTTACTTTGTGAACCAGTGATTTGGTACCGAAATGGTTCCCCCAAGTACCCTCGTGAATTTCTCGTAGGACGTAGTCGGTGTCTCCCGGACCCAAACATATTGCCAACGGTCCATAGAAAATCCTTCTGTACAATGTTCCATCTTCGACCAATGTGAATCATGCAATTTTTGTTCGCAGAGTCCTCGATTCCTTAGGGTTTGACGAAAGCTTCCCGTTCTTTAGATAATCAATATATTTGTTGCTCCAATCCCAAATTAGGCTTGTGGAGTTTATTTCGGCGTGGACTTCTTCGACTACTGACTTTGAAAGTTGTACGATAGTCCCGGAGCTAATTTCGTCATCTTCGACTGATGACCCCAAATTTGCAAGGGCATCGACCTCACTGTTCTGCTCTCAAGGTACATGCTGTAGTGTCTATTCTTTAAACCGGTGTAGGGTTACCTGTAGTTTGTCCAAGTACCTCTGCATTTAATCTTCTCGAACCTCGAAGGTCTTGTTGACTTGGTCAACCACAAGTAGGGAATCGAACCTGGCCTCGATGACCTCTGCTCCCAAACTTTTAGCCAGATCGAGACCTGCAATCATGGCCTCATACTCGGCCTCATTGTTAGTCAACTTAGGGGTTTTGATGGATTGTCTAATTGTACTGCCTATGGGTGGCTTCAAAACGATGCCTAGCCCAGGACCCTTTCACATTTGAAGCGCCATCTGTGAAAAGGGTCCACACTCCCGAGGATGTTCCCGATTTAAGCAATAGTTCCTTTTTGATCTCGGGTACGAGGGCAGACGTAAAGTTGGCCATGAGGTCTGCTAAGATTTTAGACTTGATGGTCGTTCGGGGTTGATACTCGATATCATACCCACTAATTTCGATGGCCCATTTGGCCAGTCGGCCCGAGAGTTCGGGCTTGTGTAAAATGTTGCGAAGGGGTTAAATGGTTACAACATAAATTAGGTGACATTGAAAATACCGTTTTAATTTCCTAGAGGCGCTTATTAGAGTAAGCGCTAATTTTTCTAAGTGTGGGTACCGGGTCTCGGCTTCACCTAAAGTTCGGCTAACATAGTAAACAAGAAATTGCGTACCTTGCTCCTCTCAAATTAGGACATCACTTACCGCAACGTCCGATACTGCCAAATATAAGTAAAGTTGCTCGTAAGAAATTGTTCTTCTTTTTGAGCAGTGAGAAGAACCTGTGACTTCGATCCGAAGACCTCGAGATGAACTGGCCTAAGACGGATATCCCCCATGTTAATCTTTGTACGGCCTTAACTCTATCCACGACTGTGATATCTTCTATTGCTTTGATTTTATCGGGATTGATCTTGGTTCCCTGATTTGACACCATAAAGTTGAGGAACTTGCCCGAACTGACCCCGAATGCGCATTTCTCGGGATTGAGCTTCATGTTGTATTTTCTCAATATGTTGAAGGTATCCTGCAAATGTGTCAAATGGACCTCTTCGCGTAGAGACTTAACTAGCATGCCATCAATATAAACCTCCATTGATTTACCTATTTATTCTTCGAATATTCGGTTTACTAGGCATTGATAGGTAGCACCAGCATTTTTTAGTCCAAACGACATTACATTATATCAATAAGTACCATACTTAGTAATAAACAAAGTCTTTTCCTGATCCTCCTAGCTCATTTATATTTGGTTGTGCCAGGAGTAGGCATCGAGAAAGCTGAGGATCTCGTGGTCGGCCGTGGCATCGATTATGCAATCGATATTCAGCAAAGGAAAGGAGTCTTTAGGGTATGCTTTGTTTAAGTCTTTGTAGTCTACGCATATTCTTAGCTTATTCCCTTTCTTGGGGACTATAACTACGTTTGCTAACCATTTGGGATATTTTACTTCCCGGATAGATCCTATTTTGAGAAGTTTGGTTACCCCATCCTTGATGAATGCATGCTTTACCTCGGATTGTAGCCTTCTCTTTTGCTTTATCGGTCTGAACTTTGGGTCCAAGCTCAATCGATGAGTGTTAATCTCTGGTGGGATCCCTGTCATGTCAAGGTGGGACCAAGCAAAACAATCCATATTTTTAATAAGGAATTTAATGAGTTTTTCCCTGAGCTCGGGAGTTAACCCCGTGCCCATGTATACCTTTCGATCGGGCAGATGCTTGATTAGTACGACTTAATCCAGCTCTTCAACCGTTGACTTCGTGGCATCAGAATCATTAATGATTACGAAGGTTCGAGGTATCATATAATCATCATCCTCGAAAATTTTCTGCTGTTCTGATCTGGTCGAGGCCAGCGACTGTAGTTTCTATTTGACTTCTTTCTTTTCCTTTGATTCTGGTCCCTTTGTTGATATTAGTGCTGATACTGGTATTACCTCATCAATTGCAAATATCTCTTTGGCTGCTGGTTGGTCGCCGTACATCGTTTTGATTCCTTCTGATGTTGGGAATTTTAAGTCTTGATGAAGCGTTGAAGGTACATCCCTCATATTATGGATCCAAGGTCTTCCAAGCAGCGCGTTGTACCTCATATCACCTTTGATTACATGGAACTTCGTTTCTTGGATAGTTCCGGCCATGTTTACTGGCAAAATGATTTCCTTTTTGGTGGTTTCACTCGCCATGTTGAAGTCGTTAAGTACTCCAGCTGTAGGTATGATTTGATCTTGGAGGGCGAGTTGCACTACGACCCTCGATTGAATAATAGTTGCCGAGCTACTTGGATCAACCAACGCACGATTAACTTGAATTTTATTCATAAGGATAGATATTACCAGTGCGTCGTTGTGAGGCTGTTCGGTCCCTTTTGCATCCTCATCATTGAAAGACAAGGTATCTTCTGTTAAGTAGTCCTGGGTAAGCTTCTTCCTTGTGATTGTAACTTTAGTGCATTTAAATATTGGGCCCAGAGGAATATCGACCCCACCAACGATCATATTAATTACGTGTTGTGGTTCCTCCTGCTCGTTTTTCCTGTTTGCATCCCTGTCTCTGAAATGATTTTTAGCTCGATCACTCAAGAACTCTCGAAGATGACCTTAATTGCCTGCAGTCTTCGATTTTGTGACCATGGGTTCCATGGTATTTGCATATTTGATTAGGGTTTCTTTGAGCTGGGTTGGACTGTAAGGGTCTGGGCTATCTAGTATCTTTGATCTGTCCAATGGCTGATACAATACCCTACGCATCGACGCTGAAGTTGTATTCTGATAATCATGGCGCTTCTTTGGGCTCAACATGTTTATCGAAGCCGCTCTTACTCAAGAGCCCTCGGGAGTTTTGTCCTCGATCATTCCTTCGATCATGATTACGTCCTGGTCCATTGTTTCTATGATCTGCGTTGTATGGTCGGTACCAGTCTCTGTTTGATCGGGGCTCTCTGTCTATGTCTCTTTGAATCCTGCCTTCGAATCTATTTGGATAAACGGAATCGGAAGGGGCTCCTAACTGATCATCCTTGACTCTAATCTTTGACTGGTATTGGTTATGTACACCGGCTCAGGTCACATCTAGATATTCAATCAAATTCTGTTTAAGTTGTCGCGATGCTATCGAACTTCTCTCGTTCAAACCTTCAGTGAAGGCTTGGACAACCCAATCATCGGTGACCGGGGGTAGGTCCATGCGTTCCATATGGAACCAAGATACAAATTCCCTTAGCATTTCGTTGTCCTTTTGTCTTACTTTGAAGAGGTCCGATTTCCTAGTCGCGACCTTTATTGATCCGGCGTGTGCCTTAATGAACAAATCAGCAAGGATGGCGAAGGAATCGATGGAATTGAGCGACAAATTGTGGTACCATATCATTGCCCTCTTCGATAAAGTTTCTCCAAAAAATTTCAACAGAACAAATTCAATTTCATCATCTTCTAAGTCATTTTCTTTTATTGCGCATGTATAAGAAGTGACGTGCTCATTAGGATCAGTGG